GAATCCTCTGTTTTGCTTCTAATCTCATCATGAACTGAAATCACCCCCTCCAAGGTCACCAGTGCTCTGCTCACTGCCAGATTGAATGGCCTTTCCTCAATCCTCCTCATCCTCCTTGATCTGTCTTCAGTCTTTGGCCTTTCTAAGTTTTCATGACATTGCTCTCTCCTATTTATCTGCTCTTATCTGTCTAATGATTCCTTACCCAGAGCTCCCAGGTCTTGGTACAGCTCCTGCTGTATATTTAGTACTTAATGAATGCATGTTGCCTTGGTTAAGGCAAGCAACACACATTCATTAAGCATTTACTAAGTGTCAGGAGCTGTGCTTATGATGGTTTTTCATCTATATCATGCCCACTAAGCACAGGTAAACATTAAGGCCCTGTCTGAGGCCTTTTTCTCCTGTATACTTTCTCATTTGGTGATATCATCTCCCATGCATTCAATTATCCATATGCTATGCACACAATTGCCAGATCTATATATCCAGCCCTAACCTCTCCACTGAGCTACAGACCTATATCACAAACTCTCCTTTGAGTATTTTGAACTGCATGTCCTGTAGCTATCTCAAGTTCAACAGGTCCCAAACAGAACTGATTATCTTTCCCTCCAAGCATTCCTCTCTTCCAAAATTCCCTGTCCTGATAGAGGATGGCACCATCACCTCCCAAGCACCCAGGCCTACAACTTCCATATCATCCTCAACTGCTCATTGTCACTTAACCTACATGGCTGATCTATTACCAAATCTGGTCATTCTTATCTTCACGACATCTATCGTCTATGTTCCCTTCTCTCTACTCACAAAACTGTCCCCCTAGACCAGGCCATTACTGCTTTCTGCCTGGATACTGCAACAGCCTTCTAACTGGTCTCCCCACCTCGAGACTTTCTCCACTCCAATTTCTCCTCCACTTAGCTGCCAAGATGACTTTCCTGACCATGGTCCTGATCATGCTCCTCCTATTCATTGAGTCCCCATGGTTCTTACTGCCTTCAGGATCAAATACAAAATTCTACATTTGCATTTACTTGGCCCTTCCTACCTAAGTCTTTTATACTTTACTCCCCTCTGATCCAGTCACACTGTCCTACTCACAGTGCCTTGAACCCAATACTTAATCACCTATCTCTATGCCTTTGCAATGGCTGTCCCCTCCAGGCAGCTAGATGGCACAGTGGATAGAACCCGGGGCCTGGAGTAAGAAAGACCTGAGTTCAAATCCAGCCTCAAACACTGGCTGTGTGACCTTGGACAATTCATTTAACCTCTGTTTGTCTCAGTTTCCTCAACTGTAATATAAGTATAAAAACAGTACATACCTCACAGGGCTGTTGTGAGGATCAAGTGAGACAATATCTGTAGAGTGCTTAGCACGGTGCCTGGCACGTAGCAGCTATTATTTAAATGCTAGTTATTATTATTATCATTATGGGCCTAGAATGTGCAGTTCAAATCCTGTCTTCTGCAAGAGGCCTTGACAAGCCCTCTCCCCTTCCCAGCTACAGGGGCCTTCCCTTGGAGATTACCTTCCAGCTACTCTCTACATAAACTTGTCATGTGCCTACTTATTTATATATTATCTTGCCCATTAGAATGTAAGCTCCTTGAGGGCAGGAACCATGGTGTTTGGGTTTTGTTTTCATTTTTGCTTTGTTTCCCAGTGGTCAGCATAGTGCCTGGTACACGTTAGTGTTTAGTGAACACTTGCTGGCTGACGATGCTCAAAAGCACAGGGGTGAGAAAGTATGTGAGACCTGACATGGGAATGGAAGTAGTTTGGTCAAGCCTGAAAACTGCCCCGTCTCTAGTCTTTCTTTCACTGATAAGCTTTGAGAAGGAGTAGTCGACCCTTGCTGCCTCCATTTCCATCCAGCGGATCATTCCTCACCTCTCTGCACGCTGGATTCTATGACCTCCACAGTCACCGACATTGCTCTCTCAGGTGTCACTAACAACTGTTTCATTACCAAACCCAATAGTCTCTTTTCGTGGTCCTTGTTCTGCAGCAAGGGACACTGCTGACCTCTGTCTCTCTCTACTCCACTCTGTTCTGCCCTTCTCCATACTCTGTTGGCCTCCATATATTATCCTGGCTCTCCTCCCACCTCTCAGGCTACCTCTTCCTTCTCCTACTCCTAAAAAACATTCTGCTTTTGATCTTCTCTCTCTACAAAGATTCTGCTTTGCTTTTCTCTCTCTAAATTTTCTTTGCTGATAATCTTAGACATTGTTGTGGCTTCAAGTTTTACATCTGAGTGGATGACTCCCAACTTTTTGTCTCCAGCGCAGACGTCTCATCTGAATTCCATCTTGACCTTCATGTCCAAGTGGTTGTTGGACATCTCTTTACTGGTGTGTGAGCTCATAGCATAATCATGCTGTGGTTTTACAGCAGGCAGGTGCCTCAAAGGCCATCTAATCTAGTACCCTCATTTTACAGATGAGGAACTAAGTGACCTGCCCAAGGTCACACAGGGCCTCTACTTGGTGACACCTCTCCTTGGTGAAGGAAAATAAATCAAAGGTGATTCCAAGGTTTCAGGATTGGGTGACTAGGAAATAAGAGGTGCTATTCACTGAAAGAAGGAAGTCAGGAGGACAACTCTATTTTAGAGGGAAGAAGATGCCTTTTGCTGGTGCCTGAAATTGTCAATAATCAGAATTAGATCTCCTTTGTGCCATCTTTCTAAAGACCCAATAATTAGGGCCATTCAGGCAGGAGAAAGATCGCTCTGTTGTGGCTTCAAAGGAAATCAATGAAAACTCTGAGTCATGCAACACCAAGCAGGTGACAGTCTGTCTCTGGGGGAGCAGGGGGGGTAGAATGCTAAACTTCTTTTAGGAGGCTCCACGGAACAAGCCAGAAGCAAAGAAAAGTGACAGTGGGGGAGCACTGGAACTGATTACCAAATGTAGCACCATATCTCCTCCACCATCAATCCAATCTGCTTAACTAAGCCTGGGTCTTTCCCTTCCCTTCTGCTCACCAAGGTCTTCAGCCCCTGGGTCAATAGTAAACATCCACCCCTCAGGCAGTGAGGACACTGGAAAAACCCAGAGGCAAGATATCTGACAGGTGACCTTATTCTAGAGGGAAGCTGGCATAGTCTTTCATGTAAAACACAGACGCCAGATCCAATTTCACACAGATAAGGCCTCTTTTTTAAAAAGTCAAAACAAAAAGAAAAGGAGAGGATGGGGATGGGGGAATTCAAATCATTGGGTGAATGCATGCAATGGGAGACAAGATCCCAACAATGGAAGCTCCCCAGGAAGATATCCAAAACACAAGAAACTCAGATTAAGAGGGATCTAAGGATCTTTCAGGTCACCCATCTACTCATCTATCTGTCCATCCACACATTTTCACGTATGTATATTACATATATATAATACATATATATTTTTCAACACTTATGTAGCCACACAAGTGCCATTGAGAAATTCCCCTTATGTCCAGAATACTCACCTGCTCCCCAGATTATCTTGTGGCTGAAGCAGTGCCCCTTGGAGAAAGAGTCTCACTCTCCCTTTTCATTTTAGGTGGGACAGAGTGAATCTCACAAGATGAGAAGACATATATGGGCTGGGACTGACAAGGCAAGTTCCACGATCTCATCTTTTTTTCCCAACCAATCCCTCTTCCAAACTTCCCTATTTTTATCAAGAGCACCACCAACCATCCTTCCGGTCATTCAAGTTCACAATCTCATCTTCTTCCCCCTCCATGTTAAACAAGTGCCCAAGATGATCATTTCTACCTTCACAGTCCCTCTCATATCCATCCCCTTCTCATCACTTACTCAATCACCACTCTAGCTCAGGCCTTCATCACTCGGGTACCGGTCCAATAGCATAGTGCCTGGTACCCAGTAGGTGCTTAATAAAGGTTTACTAATTCCCAATTGATCTGTTTACTTCAAGTCTCTCCTTACTCTAATCCATTCTCCAACTACCTGCCACAGTGATTTTCTCAAAGTGAAGGTCTAACCACGTCAACCCATACTCAAGTGGTTCTCTACTGAATATAAATTCCCTAAAGCTGTTCACAACCTGGTTTCAATTTATCCTTCCAGTCTTATTCTACATTACTCCTCAACCTGTTCTCCAGGGTGAAGCCAAACCACCCTTTTTGTTTTATACTCATATGAAGAAACAACTAAAATATCCAAAGAGGATTAGGAAATTAAGATACTGTCCCATCTAGTAAGCTGCATCCATAAAACTGAGAAAAACTTCCTGCTAAGGAGAAATCAAAGGCAATCATTTCTGCTTATTGTTATGTTGAATATCTACCTACCGAGAAACAAGACTCCTGCTCAAAAGCTGTTATGTTCACTGACTATCATGACCTATTATTTCATTGTTGTATTACGTCTTTCAATTAAAAAGCATCCTAATAATTAATTACTAACAAACAATTATTATTTACAAATCCTCCCTATTCCCCAGGACATACATAGGGTTTTGTTTTGTAAGCAGAATAAATATTTTGTTGGTTTTATAGGTAGATAAATATTCTTAAAATATTGTCTATTTCATGTTTATCTCATCCTTTAAAATGTCTACACTGTATGTATGTTTTATAATATAGAATATGAGTACAATGATATATGTATCTAATTTATAAATGAATAAATATACATATATTATGGGATTATACTCAAAAAATATTAGAGTGATGGGGAGTACAATCAAAAAAGTTTGGAGACCACTGGACTAGAGAGACTCATAGATTCAGAGCTAGATGTGGTATTTCTGGGTCAATAGCTTAGGCCAAGGGTAGGGAACCTGCAGCCTCAAGGCCACATATGGCCCTTTAGATCCTGAAGTGTGGCCCTTTGACATGTGGCCTTGAGGCTGCAGGTTCCCGATCTCTGGCTTAGGCCATCAGACAGATAAGTGCCTAAAATCAAGCCCAGAATGGTTCTCCCCATTAGGCTCTGGGTACCCTGGTTCCTGCACCCCATCTCAGTGTATCCTCTACTTACCATCATCACTGGTGTGAGGCTCTGTGCCATTGTCATGGTCAACCTCGTCAATCGTCCCTGGTTCACTATGTGGGCTGTCACTGCAATGAAGCAAGAAAAGGAAACTCGTATGGGATGCTCCCTCATCATTGGCAGTCTCGCTGTAGGCCAGTTCTGACTGCCTGCTTCAGAAGTACTTTCTTTTCTCCCATCCTACACACTTAACTTGCCTATTCCCATTGAATCCTAGAGTTGGGAGGGACCTCAAAAACCATCTAATTCAATCTAATGTACTAACTAAACCTTTCTATTGAATCTCCAAAAGGTGATCCAGTTTCTGGTGGAACTCTGTGATGGGGAACTTATTACCATATGAAACAACACATTCCTTCTTAAGGCAACTCCACTATTATGAAATTCTTTACACTAAGCAAAAATCTGCTTCCTTCTAATTTACATCCTCTTCAAGTAGTTCTGCCCTCCGAATTCACAAAGAGTAAGTTTAATTGCTCTTCCACATGAGAAATCTTCAAATAACTGAAGATAAAGACCATGATCCTCTTTTAAGTCTTCTCCAGGTTAGGCAGCCATAGTTATTTCAACCAATGCTCATACGGCATAGTAGGATGTAAGCTCCCTGAGGGCAGGGACATTTTGTTTCTGTCTTGCATGTGGTAGTGATTTAATAAATGCTCACTGGACTGGTTTGGATGGTGGGCCTTTGTCCAAACTAAGAATAGAAGTATAGAATCTTACACCTGGAAGGCAATTTCCATCTTGTATGTACACAGTAGCTCCATGTTGTTTTCCCCCATTAGAATGGAAAATCCTTGAGGACAGAGACTCTTTTTACCTTTCCTTACATTTCCATAGCTTAGCACATAGTAAATGCATAACAAATGTTTGTTGACTGACTGATGTAGAGAGCATTTCAGAGCCTAGAGAAGTCAACAGCAGATCAATTTGCATCATATTACCTGATGCCCAATTCCCAAGTTTAGGCAAGTCATTTAACTTTACAGGGTCTTAGCTGCTTTATCTGTAAAAGGGGGATAATAATTTTTTTTACCTTCCTGAAGGAGAACAGATCAGGCAAACTAGAGAGGTCCTTTCTAATTCTAAGACTGATAGTTCTAAAGCTTTAATTTGGCTTCTGTCTCCTTGCCAAGAAGGAATCCCCAGGTCATTTATAGTCATAAAGATGGTGAAAGGCTTAGACAAGGAGTACTCATGAGAAGGTCAAAAGCACTGTTTGTTTAACCTTAAGAGAGAAAACTTGTGGAAAAGGTGGGAGGGAGGCTGTAAATAATAGCCTGCAAGCCCATGGGTGATTAGTATATAGAGGATATCAGTCAGCTATTCTCCAACTTCCCTGAAGACAGGTTTTTCTACATTGGCAGAAGGTATCACTAGACAGGATCTTACCAATATTCTTCCCCTCCGGCCATGCACTTCTCATACACTGGCCCTTCCAGTTCCCTGTGGCTGGGGAAGATGGCCTCATGATTGACAATGATGGTTTTGATGACTTCATTGACGTGAGCCTGGCATGATACGGGGTCCTGTCCATCTGGGATATGCATGAGGGTTGGCCCAAAGCAGATGGCCAGGTTGTAGGGATCCATCATGTTCTCATCGCTATACTGGGACAGGCTGAAACAGAAGCCCCCATGAGATAAGATTAGAGTAGTGATTTCTTTGATGGGGCACCTGGGGCTTTGTGGGGATGACAGCCATGACCCCTACCCTCAATGGAATTTGGAAACTATTGACGTTGGTACTTTGGTAGGGATAGGGAAAGGAAAAGTAGCACAATAAAAATACAGCATTCTACTATCTCCAGCAGAATTGTCCATGGACAATTCATTTATATGAAGTAGATGTCTATTACATATGGCATGTTTTGTGGGGTTCTGGGAAGGCTTCTCCTAGTTAATATCTTTCCTAGTCAGGTGATGACAGTCATTAACATTCTACCAGTAGAGATTCATCCCTTTGGGTCATTTTTTCCCTACATATTTTTCAAATAGACACACATCTGGGCATTGGTGTTGGGGTAGGAGATGGGGAGACACAGTAAACTAATTTCCACTGAATTATTAGTGACAACACATCTGAATTTCTCCTTTCTCCTCACAGGAACCCCAGAGGAAGCAGGATAACAGAACATAGAATATGAACATAGAGAAAGAGGGTTACAATGAGAGGAAGGAAAGGGTCACCAAAGAGAGGTGGGGAATGCAGAAGAAAATCTTTGCCTCTTCCCATTTCCTCAGTGGGTCTGCTCCAGTGTGGACCTCCAACACTCTGTGTGGTCAGACCAGGGAGGAGGGATGACAGATACGCTGATCCCCATCCTTCCCTTCCCCACAGTGGTAAGAGTCTGAGGAGGTGGCCTTGGATCTTCCAAGTTTCTGTTTCAGCAGGGTTGAGTCTCAGAAACATTGATGGTTTCCATACATCTCAAGCATCTTGCCATTAGGGCAACTCCAACTTCCACCTTCCATTCTATGAGTCTAAGAACTCAAGAAATAAATGTTAGGGAACAGGTCCCCACAGCTTCAACCATAAACATAGAAGGGTCCAAGAACCTCTTTCTCAAGGATGGGGCCAAACAGCATCTGAGCAGGTCACTCTACTTCTGGGGAGGAGGCATGGGGGCATTTTAGAGGAGAGAAGGAAGAAAAATGCACTCACTGGTTGAGAAAAGCGAAGAGGTATCTCATGACCACGATGACCACTCGGGGCAAGGTGACAAGAATCTGCTGGATCAGGTGCACTCTCTCTGCGGGACTTTCCATTTCTATAACACAAGCCCCCCAGTAACCCCCACTAAGGTGAGATGCAGCTCAGTCGGCCCAGAGGGAGCAGGACTGTGACCTCTGCTCCCCAGCCCAACCTCAACTTTGGCTCATGTTTTGAGTGGCTCTGCTAAAGGGAGAACAGTAAGTTGCTACATAGAGGAAACCCTCACTTCATCCATTTTATGCCAGCCTTCATGACTTTTTCTCATTTTGAACTACAACACTGATAGTTTCTACCATGTAATCGAGGCCTGAAAGATGTACTGCCTTTACTACACTTCTGGTACACATGTCCTGTCTCCCCAGGAAGACTGTAAACCCCAAGAGGACTAGAGCTATGCCTTAAACTTCTTAGATTCTCCCACAGAGCCCAGCATCATGACTTCCACAAATGGTAGATGCTTCTGTGATTGATTCAATGATGCTGGAATTCCATAAAATAAGGCACATGCCATCTTTTTCATACTGAAGGAAAATGCCAATAAATTAGATCCAAGAGCTGATGTTCATGTAAACATGGCTAGAGTTAACAATGACAAAAGCATTTATTAAACACCTACTATGTGCCAGGCATTATGCTGAGGATATGATAGAAAAAGTGACGAACTTAGAGTGCTGAACTTGGAATCATTAAACCCAAGTATGAATTCTGCCTCTGTGGCTTACCACCAGTATGACTCTGGGCAAGTCACTTAACCTCTCTGAGCCTCAGTTTCCTCTTCTGTAAAATGTGTGAGAGTGAACTAGACAACCTCTAAAGGGACCTTAGCTCTGGATGTAGGGCCTTTCAGTTCTAGGTCAATGATAGGATCATCTCATGATATAAAGACAAATTAAAAAAACAGTCTTTGACCTCAAAGAGTTTACACTTTAATCTAAGCCAGACGGGAGCCTAGGAATATCCCTCTTAGCATCCTCTTAGAAAGCCCAGTTTGCATGGAAGCTCAGCTCAAGCATGCCCTTCTTTCTGCCTTAGGCTTCTCCTGATGCCCCCAACTAGTAGTGCCTCCCCTCTTCCTCCAAATGATCTGGTTTTTATTTTAAACATACCTATTTCTATACATTCTGTCTCTCCCAACAGAATGTAAGCTTCTTGAGGGCAGGGACTCTTTCATTTGTGTCATCTTATCACCAGAGCTTATTACAATGCCTGGCACATAGTAGGTACTTAACAAATGCTTGTCGATCAATTGATGATTGTTCCACTTTGTTTAGACCAGTTTATAAGAATCTTCTAAGAAAGGTAGCTGCCCCCATGGGCTTATTTTCCTAGAAAAGTTAAAACTTGGTTTGAGGCCAGTTCAAAACTTAAATAATTATCAACAGTTTCCTTCCCCCAGTAGGTGACTGCTGTTCACCTCTTCCTTTGGAGCCTTTTTGATTAATATCCCTTTCTCTGGGAAACTCCCCTTCCCACTCCATCCATGAGTACTTACTGATTGTGGATATCAAATCTTGAAACCTTTCCTTGGGAAAGAGTGGGTTTTCCAGTCCTCGGAAATACAGCTTTAAGACACCAGCCACTGAATTAATATCCCTTTCATTTTGGTCATCCGCCAGGGGATCTTCACCTGAACAGATATAGAAGATGACTTTTCAGCCTGATTAGACAGCAGGAATTGTTCAATTAGCTAGAACAGATAACCCCCAGCCCAGGGCTGATCAGAAAAGCAGCACATGGGATGGGAACTTTCCCTGTATTTTCCCAGCATGTCCTAACTTAATAGGCTCTTCTATTAAGCATCATCACACTGGGATGTACCACTCCTAAAGTCATTATGGAGTAGTGGAAGGTGAGGAAGTAAAGCTTCCAACTGTTTCTTGAAGGGGTTCTCAGAGTTCTAACAAAAACAACAACAATAACATTTCTGTAGGGCTTTGAGATTCACAATGCGTTTTACAAATTTTACCTTATTTTAACCTCACAACAACCTGAGAGGCAGGTGCTATTATTATTCCCATTTTACAGATGAGGAAATATGAGGCTAAGTGAGTTAGGACCACACAGCTAGGAAGAGTCTGAGGCCACTTATCCAGGTACACTACCCTTTCCATTAGGCCAGTGTTCCAGGAGAATACAATTATTCCTAAAGGTAGGAGGGTAAGATAGGTATAGTTCTTTTAAAGCCCTCCTCACAACTCTAGACTCATTATCCTCTAATTAGATAAATAATGACTAAAATCTGCATGATATTTTAAGGTTTACAAGGTACTTTACAAATATTATTGCATCTGAGTCTTACCACAGGCCTCTGAGGTAGGTACCGCAGGTATTATCAACCCCATTTTACAAATGAGAAAACAGAGACTCAGAGATGTTAAGTGATTTGTTCAGGGACACCCAGTTAATAAGAGTCAAAGGCAGGATTCAAATCCAGACCTTCCTGATTCTAAGGTCAGCATCGTAGCCTCTATACCTTGTACCTAATTAGAAAGCGGCACACGTGAGAGTGACAAGGAAACTGACTCAACACTCATCTCTTAGAAATATTCACTTATATTTTTAACTTGTGCTCCATTCACCTAGGGAGGCAACGGGCAGTAAAGGAAATAAATGCAGCTTTCTTTCCTACATTCCTCAGCTTCCAGGTTTTCGAAAACCTGCCTCAGCTTTGAAATGACAAAGTTATGCCATTCCCCTTCAGAAGAGGCATTTGCCAGGGGTGACACTCCAAGGATGAGGTTTTCTAACCAGCTGACCCAAGCACCAGTTTTTAAGGTCGAGTTTAAAAAGTCCCATCTGGCGAAGCCCCAAACCAAGGAAGAGGAACAGAACTAAGGAAGGGCAGTGTGGGCAGTAGACTCAGGTGCTGCTGAGAAAGGGATGCACAGAGATGATATATGGGAAGCCGCCAGGTGAGAGGCCACATTCAGCAAGCAACACGGTTCCCCTTGCCATTGTGACTCATCCTTGCTCATTCTTCGACTGACAGTACCTTGACCATGCCACTACATGAAGACTATGCCTGTCACGCCCCTTTGTGGTCAGCAAAGGGCCACCTCCTAGGCAGGGCCTTTCCTTATACTCTGACCTCCAGTTGCTAGTATGCTCCCTCCCAAAAATACCTTTATTTTTCCTATATTTTCACTTCTCTGTGTCCACGTTGTCCCACCCCAATAAAACAGTGAACTCTCCAGGACACGGGGCTATTTCATTTTGTCTTTGTATCCCCATCACCAGTCTAGCACCTGACCCAGGACAGGTGCTTCACAGATGATTTCTGCATGAATAAAGAACTATCTGGCAACAGCACAGATGCTCAATAGGCAGAAGACATTCCTTAAGCCAGTAGATGGAGGAGGTCAAGTTCATGTTTGTCTTTTGACTCCTCTAATCTCTGTGGTCTCCCCTGCCTCAGCCCAGAGTAGCTAATTCCCCTTATCTAAACCTGCAGTAACAAACTCACTCCCAGCAAGGTATAAGTAACAGAGAAAGCCCTTCTGATCTATCTGGGGTTTGGGAAGGGACACAGGTAGGGGCTGGGCTTTCCTTCCTCTTGCATTCCTACTGTAGCATGATGAGTTGGTATCTCTCTTCAGGCATTTAGCATATCCTGCCTTGCACTATAATCAATAAACGTTTATTAAGTACCTACTGTGTGCCAGGCACTACGCTGAGCAATACAGTCACTGGCATATGTGTATTATTTTTCATCAGTACTGTAAGCAATAATTTGATTTGTTAAAGTATTAAACATGTCAGGGATTTTTTTAAAATATGCTATAATGAGAAGGGAGAAAGGAATAAGCATCTTTATAACATCTCCTATGAGCCAAGTGTTTACTGTGTGCCATTGTCTCACTTCCACATCCCTTTATCTCCCAAACCATGGAATGTCCTCCCCCGTTTCTGCCTGTCTCCTTGTCTCTCTTTTTATTCCTGTTGTACTCCATAATCTGGCATCTGAGCATATAACTTTCTCACATTTTTCTTTAATTGTTTCAAGCAAGTGACTCTTTTCTCCTCAACCAGGTTTCGATCTCCTTATGGAAGAGGGCTGGATCCCAAACTTCTTTCCCAGTCCCCACTGAACCTAGTCCAATACAGAGCACCCATCCACCCATATCTATACGGTAAATTCTATGTACATAGTTATTTGTATGTTGCCTCTCCCATTAGAACGGGTGCTCCTTGAGCCTATGAACCCTATTTTTACTTACGTTTGTGTTCCCGGAGCTTGCCACTCTAGACTGGCTAAATAAATTCCTGAACTGACTGATGAGCTATATAAGAAGATAATGGCTATAAAGCACTTCATTTGTTTTTTGGGTTTTGTGGGGGGTTTGCTTTTTTTGGTGAGGCAATCTGGGGTAAGTGACTTGCCTAGGGTCACACAGCTAGTAAGTGTCAAGTGTCTGAAGCCAGATTTGAATGCAGGTCCCCCTACTCCAAGGCTACAGCTCTATCCACTGTGCCACCTAGCTGTCCCTTATAAAGCACTTTAGAAACCTAAAAGAGATGATAGACAGATAGATAGATAGATAGATAGATAGATAGATAGATAGATATCCAGATTGATAGATACTTAGACATCAATTTTTTTTGTATTACCCTTGGAGGTAGCTTTATCTGTAAATATGAAGGACAATAATGTAGATGGACATGTGGGGCTCAGAGATGGTTGAATTGTGAAAATAAAACCAGTGATCTCTTCCATGGCAGTTTGGGAAGTAAATTATCACTCAAGCATCAAGTTACATCTTCCTAATTATTTTACCTACTTTAGGTTTCTTTCTTAAGTCTGCTAGAAGGTTGTATGGTGATTTTCTAGAAACACTTTTTTTAGTTTAAGACAGATGGTAGCAGTAAATTAACCATTATAAAAAGATATATTGAGAGAATCAAAGACTTATTGGGAAGATTAGAGATTATCTCATTCAAACTCTTTTTATTGAAGACAAAACTGAGGTCCAGAGACAGTAAGCACTCTACTGTCTTGTCTGCCTGTACTTTAGTTAAGTTTCCTTCTTAACACTAGTGGAATATGATGGTTTCTGAAACATGATGGTTTCTAGAATTTTTTTTAGGTTGAGATTAATGGAAGAGATAATCAATGTACATAGCGAGAATATGACATACTAAGATGAAGGGGACCTCAGAGATCATTTCATTCAACCTCTTTTTACAGAAGAGGAAACTGAGCCTCTGAGATGGTTATAGTGCCTGAGATTATAGAATGAGTTAGTGGCAGGGCTAGACATCCAGATCTCCTAACCTCCTTTGCAGAGAAACCAACCAGTGTGAGAAACAATAGGTCTCTTCACTGATGTGGAATCTGTTCATTTTGAAAAGTGCTAGAAAGAAGGGAAAACAGTGCTTCTTGCCAATGGCCTCATCCACAAAGTTGGAAGGAACCATTTCTGGATTGGAGGAAAAATGAGTGAGATCATAATTTCTTCTAAAAAGATTTGAACGGTTAGCATCCTTAAGAGATCCAAGTGGAGGATTTAAACACCAAACAATTACCAGGGAAACACACAGCACGCCGGTTTGGGGAGAATTTAGTCACAAGCTAGAATGTGTGGGATGTGAAGAGTGGGTGGGAAAAGCGATACAGAGACATGTTAAGACCATCTGGTTGCCAGGGAGATGGCACCACTAAAAGGGGACCCAAAATAGGAAACTTGGAATCAGAAAGAAGATGAAAGCTGGAAAAGAGATGGAATGATTGTGTCCTGGAGGGTTAGAAAGGATAATGAGCAAAACATACCAGACTATTTGGTGGGCAATGCCGAGAAGCATTAGCTGGGGACCGGGACTTGATTATCGCCCACAGAGAAAGTAGACAAATGTTTCTAAAAGAGAAATTCTGGGAGGTCATTCTTGACAAGCAAGAAAGGAACCAGTTAGTGTAAGGACTGGTCAAAGCTAGGCAGCAATGACTTGAAGAGAGTGAGGTATATTTGAGGTGGAGACAAACAGCTAGGGAAAGAAAGGGGAGGGAAGGGAATAAGCATTTATTAAGTACCAACTAAGTGCCAGGCACTTTATATAAAGTGCTCAGCATTTCATAAATATCTCTTTTGATCCTCATTACAACTCTGCCATTACTATCCCCATTTTATAGTTGAAGAAACTGAGGCAGACAGAGACTAGGTGATTTGTTCAGAGTCATATAGTTAGTAAGCATCTGAGGCCCTATTTGAACTCAGGTCTTTCTGACTCCAGGCCCAGCACTCTATCCACTGTGCCATTTAACTAGGAGGGCAAGAAGGCAGAAGTGGTTACGTGGGAAGGGGCTAGTCCTGGAAAGAATGCCACGGCCATCGTCTTATGAAATTGATCCAGTGGAATGGGTCATGCCTGAAGCCTGCTTCAATTTATTATAAACAGGGGAACTATTCGAATTTTTCAGCATCACTACAGGGAGGCCAGGCACATGAGAGGAGCATGTACTGGCCTTGGAAAATGATGCTACCAAAGGAAAGAATTTCTCAATACTGAGGAGTACAAAGGATAACTGTATCAGTATAAGAAACAAAATGACCAGATTTCTGGGCGTGGTTGTCTAGGGAGCTCACCATCACTGGAAGTGTTCAAACAGCACTCTGATAACTCTCAGAGATGCTC